ACATCACGGACGAAACAGACAGTCAACGAACAGAAAAGACAGCTCATGCAGGTAATGTCAAGTCTTGCAGAGGGTTTGTTCTTGGATATGGGAATTCAACCAATGCCAAAGTAATAAACTGGCCAGGCAAAAGTTGCCCTGGGCTCAGTGTTCTGGGAGGATTTGGGGGGATGATTCCAGCAAATTAAGTGTTTTTCCCCCTCCCTTGGCTATTATATAACACTAATAAATTTCTCTACATCTGGCGATGAATCCTCAATAATCTTAATGCATTTATTTGTTCCCGCCCTGATCATTCCACAAAGAGCTTAAGACGCTAGCAAAGGTCCCACACAGGACAAGTATATTAAATAAGTATTCTCAAAGGGTTGGCGGGGCACAAGCCCGAAGGTGGAAGTCGGCCGCAGGCCCGGTGCCCGCGAGTGCATCCTGGGCTTCCTGTAGGGCTACGGGGCAGAGGGTGAAAGGCCGTCGGCGCGTCCTGGGTTTGGCCGCAAGGCGGGGACGTGCCCACGCCATGCCGCCCTACCTGTTGGGGCTCTCGGATCATGCCAGGGCCTCAGCCATTAGCTTCTGGTTTCATGCCGCAAAGGTTGCCACCTTCGTCTGGCAACCTGTGGTTGTACGTTCAATGCCACAATGCACTGCAAAACGGAAAACGGGGCGGTGAGCCCCCGAGCGGCGGGACCAGCGGTGCGCGGGCGCTCGAAGGTTGGGCCCCGTGTCCGGGCGGGAAAGCCTGTTGCCAAGCATGTGAGTGCTCAGGCCGTGCCGCAGTGGGGAGGAAGACGGTGACCTCGGCTCTGCATGGCGGCAACGCGGGTGCCGGGAGGGGAGGACGCTGCCTCCCACGCTCGGTCCCGAGCCCGAGCGTCCCTGCCCCTGCCTGGGCTGCTGCACCAGCCTCTCCACCCTCCCGGCGGGAGCCCGGGGCTGCAGCGTCAGCCACGGAAGGGGTGTGTGTGTGTGTATGTGTGTTCATGTGTGTGTGTTCGTGTGTGTGTGTATGTGTGTTCGTGTGTGTGTGTGTGTGTGTTCATGTGTGTGTGTGACACGGGACTGGATAAGGAGGAGGGGGAGTGGCCAGAGACCTCGTGCTCACCTTTGGGGCTAACACACTGGGAGACCTGACCACTGGCCAAGAAAGGGGTCCCTGGGGGTGCACAGCTCTGAGCCCCGGGTGGCGGGGGCCGCCGGGTTACTGGGGTCTCCCACAGGCAGGACTGAGAGGCTGTGGGGGCATCCGATGGACTTCTGGTCCCTCACAGGAAGGAAGCTTGGAAATCTCGTTTGTTTTATAGCTGCGAGATGCATTCGAGGCTAGCGAAGTGAAGCCCTCTCTTTGGAGGACGGAAGGACAGAGAGGTGGGCGGAGTTAAACCCTGACATCTTTTTAGTCTTCATCTTCCTCCCCCGGGGACGTGAGAGGGTGGCGTCCTACGCCCACAGCGGACGGAGCTCTGGCGGCCACACCAGCGTGACGTCGCTGGAACGGGACTCGGCGCAGAAGTGCCTCTCTTCCCCTCCGGTTCTCGTCCCTGCGCCCACGCCTGCTGCCCCCACACAGGACACGCCATCGGGTCCTCTCCTTGGGGCACGAAGTCCCCCAGGTCCCGAGTGCCTCTGCTTGGATGGACAGGCGCCCTGCCGAGAGCCGTTGGGAAAACGCAGCGCCACGCTCCTCCTGGCCAGGGCGAGAGCCCGGGTGCAGGAAGTACGGCGGCGATCGCTTTGCGGAGACGGCACCGTGCATGGCTTGAGGGCGCCAGGGGCCACGGAGACCTGCCCAACAGCGAACCGGTCGACCCCTCCGGAATGATCACGGCACTGTCTGATTGTGGCGGGCAGATCTGCTGACACATTACTTGGGTGCCTCTTTCCCTCCCTAAACGGCTTTCCTTCCCTGCTCCCTGCACCCTGCACCCTCGCCCCTGGCTGGGCCATCTCCCTCCTGCAAACAATAATTATCAGATCGAGTCCCGATGAAGTGGGGTTCAAGGTCGTAAAGAGAGAGATATTTCTTGCACGCAGGCATGCATGGCTCAAGTTCACATCTATCACCTAGTTACGGAACGTAGCTCCAAGAAAAGGAACCAAAGTTTCCTTTTCGCCTTTGTAAGAGTCACACGGGGTGTTATTCTAGATTTTGCGAAAGAGAAAGAAAAAGGGAGTGGGAAATACCTGCGCGATGGTCGGGGAGGAGATGTGTGTGCTGGTCACGGCTCGGCACGGAGCCTGGACACCGTGTGACCTTGGGCAGGTCACGTGCTTTCCATGGGCTTCGGATTTGGGCTCCCGGGCACTGAACTAATGATCCACACGGGCTCCTAGCCTAGCGACCCTCCAAATCTGGGCGAACATCCTGATCCACCAGTCCTGGAAACAACACCTCCCCCAAAGGACTAACCTCCACTTCCTACGACCAGGGGAGCCTTCCTGGATTGTCTTTGCCTGTGCAAAGACGGCGATGACATCACGCCGCTCATTTTAGAAAATGCAGATGTTGCTTATGAAACAAACATCCCCATTAAAATTAAAAAAAAAAAAATCTAACAAAGATTTCCAAACTCCAGCTGCCAATCTAATCTCGAGTACTACTTGCTTCTACAGAAATCTGCAAGTCGGAGTTGTTATAACGGAATCGGGCGGTAGGAGCGACAGGGCCATGGCGCCTTCGGCTCATCTGCACGCGTGTGTGCAAAGAGCTCGGCGCAGGGACTGGCATCGGGTAGGCGCTCCGCAAACGCAGCTCGTCTTTGGTCTTCGCCACGTGCCGCACTGACGTGCACGTTGAAATATCTAGGTGGAATGTTGGCAGCCCGCACCTGTGGTTTTCACTAGCTCGCTCTTCCCGAGGCAGCTCACAAAGACCAAAATAAAGGCAGCATGTCTGTGTAAGTAACTCTCAACTCTCACTAGGCCCAGCCTGTGTGCATAGAGTCAGCCACAAAAATCCACCGGAAGCCAACGCTTTTATGCCCATTGAAAGTCTTTAATGCAGGAAAGGTGTGTGGCCGGACGGCGCCCTGAGTTCCGAATCGTCAGCGTGACCCCGGAGGGACCCGTGGCCCCGGCCCCACTTCCCTTAGCGTTGCAGCCTGATCCACGATGGATCGATCGTCTCTGGCTTGCAGGGCTTGGAGAAAGAGGCCACCTCTCCTCTACGGGGGTCGCAATTCTTTGCTACTAACCTATTCCGCGGTAACTGGATCTCTGTGAGTGCAAATAGTCCCCCTTGGTGGCTATTTTCATGGGAATTACCGTGGGGGCAGAGAGGAGGCAGGGTAAAGGCTACCGGGAGGCCCTACTTAAGACGGAAGCAAGACGGGCCAGCCGCCGGCCAGTGGGGGGGGAGAGAAGGCGAGGGCAGGGCCAAGGCTGGAAAGTGCTCGGGGAGGGAGGGGGAGGGGAGAGAGGGAGGAGAGGGGAGTAAAAGAAGAGGGGGAGGGGAGTGCTTGAAACAGGTGTAGGAGAGAGCGGGGAAAGAGAATGGGAGGGGAAGAAGGAAAGAATGTTGGAAGAAGGGACGGAACAAAGCAAGCCCCGGAGGAGCCGTGAAATAATGCCAGGAACCCTCGGGAGGTTCCAGGCCAGGCCGGTGGGCTCTCGGGACGGGACGCCTGGCCGGAGACCTCCCCAGAGGACCCACCAGCCGGTGAGAGGGTCACACGATTCACGTTTCCCGTCCAAGCAGAGAGAATCCGGGGATGTCACTTTTTTGCCTGTGCGCCCCGTCCCCTGCCTACGGGAGTCTTCTCGAACAGGTGCGTAGAGAAAGGGGTCAGGGGCACTTCCGGGCCACGGACGGACTATCGGGGTCAATGCTGAGTCCCCGTGATGTTCACCTTGGGTGACGATTTGGGGACCTGCCTCCTCCTGCCTCCACCCGGGACGTCGCTCGGGGCTCCCCCGGGGAAGGTGGACGGTATCAGGATGAGGACACAGAGAGAAAATGCGCGAGGTGCCTTCCCCTCTGCCACCTCCAGCACCTGCATGAGAAGACGTATCCCAGCCAGGGGCGTACGTCCAAGTAGGGCCGCAAAAAAAAAAAAAGTGGCTTAGCTACTTAAAATAGTCCCTCACGAGAAGGGTGCGTGCTGTGGCCGGAGGTCCTCCTTTTGTGACTGTACCATCCGCCGGCCACCCTCACTGCCACCCAGAAGGCAGACCGCTTTGTCCCTGCTCGCCGGGACTTTTTCCTCTCCCTGCCCCCTAATCCTGGTATGACAGCATCTCAGTCTCTAAAGGTTGTTGCCTTAGCAACCTGGAGTTCCCGAGCAAGAAGGCCTTGTTGCTTTTCCTTTCCTCAAGGTGAGTCTGAGTAACTCTGTCGGTAAAGAGTGGCTCAGGCCGTGCTGGCCTTTGGGTGGGTGGGTAGGGGGTGGGGAACCAGAGAAGGGGAAACGGGGCCCGGAGCTGGACTGGCCCCTTCCTGGGCGCTCCGAGCTCCCAGCGATGGTTTAGGGACAGACGGTCAAGCTCACGTTGCAGAGTTTCTCCGTGCAGGACCACACGCCAGCCACATGCGTGTGCTGGGCTTGTTCCCAACGGAGGTGACAGAGTGAATGTTACCAGCTGGCGCAGAGGAGGTGCCGGGGCAGCCCACAGCCGGACCTGCCGGGACCGGGCGCGGCCGCCCAGAACCCACCGTGGAGCCAGGGGGTCGGGTCAGAGTGAGGTGGGATCCTGGGCAGAGGGACCAGTCAGAGGAGAAACACTGTCTTCATTTCTCCCCGGGGCCACAGTGCGACAGAAGGCACAGGGGCCCAGGGACCTTGACCTTGAACTTGAACTGTCGTGCACTTTCCTGAGATCCAAGGATGAGGGTGGAAGGAAAGGAGAGCAGCAGCGTGTGGCCCCGGGAAGATGGCATTTGCCATCGTGGCCCCTCCGGGCCGGGTGGGGAAGTCGTGCCTCTACGTCCCCCCACCCCCTCCTGCTCTCGGGAAAGCTGCCCCCTGCACCCCTCGGGGGTGGGGGCGGTCCGCCTGGGGACTCACCGTCACACTTGAGCCCCTGCCGCGCCAGCCCCCACAGCAGCGTCCCACAGTGCTCGCAGAAGGTGGGGCTCTTGTAGCTGTACACTTTGAATCTGTGCGGCATGTCGATTTTGAATCTCTCCTTGTGGAACTGGAAGAGAGAGGTGGGCGGTGAGACCGAGGGTGCCTGTCCCCAGGGCCCCGACTGCTTCCCGGGCACCTCAGCGTAACAACAGGGACCGCATGGTGGCAGAGGGCTGCCGCCGTGCACATTTTAAACCACCGTCGCCGCGCGTCAGGGCTCCTGGGCCCGACTGAGGACGGCAGGAGCCCTGAGCGGTCGTGGGCAAGGGGCGAGCTTGCCGGCCGCACGCGCCGGGCGCCCTGCAGACGGCCGAGGCCCCAGCGGTGCGTGCAGGAAGCAAGGCACGAGGGCTGCTTATGTAAACCAGAGCTCAGGAAGCGCTGCCCCTGTTTAAATAGAGGAAACTTTTTTTCTTCCTGTGTTAATATAAATATTTCCTTTTCTCGTTCGGTGCAGAACTAGTGCTTTTACCTTTGGAGGATGCCAAAGAATGCCTCCTCTAGAGGAAGCAACTTCCCAGGCTTGGCAGGGGGAGAGCCCCACGTGGGAAGCATTTTCGCACCTGTTGTTCGTGAGCGGGGGCGGTGAGAGCGGTTGGGCAACGCTTCCCACCAGGTGCCAGAGACGAATATGTCACCTGCATTGTCTATTACACAGGAGGTATCTCGTGCAGTCCTTAGAACACCCCATTCGATGTAGCTTCTACTATTGCACAGATGAGGAGATTAAGCCCAGAGAGGGCCAGAAACTTTCCCAGGTCACACAGCGATGGAGCTGGAATATCTGTGAGCTTGGCAGTCAGAATCTGAGCCCATCTATTCTCTTTTCTGCCTCAAAATTAAATGTAAAGGCTTGGGGGAATGGGGAGAGGTGAGGGGGAAAGGGATACTAGCAGTGGATATATTGCAGGATTTTTTTTTTTTTTTTAACAGTTTTCCAGGGTTTAAAAATCAAACTTCTCCAATGGACAACAACAAAAAACCCAGGTAGTTGGAGTCTTGGTAAGAATGCTAGTATTCTTTTGCGAGATAAAACATTTTATTTTCTTGAGACTTATAATCTCTCTGCAGAAATTTCAAATTAACACATTAACCGCCATGCGAGTTGTATTTAACTCACGTTAGTTTATGAGCCCGGGGCCTCGTGAAGCATACGTAACTCACGCTTCTCTTTACCTTGGGAGCTGCGTGAACTATTTTTCAAGTTGCACAGAACTCATGTACGGAGAACAATTTAAAATAAAAAGTTTTTCAGTAGGTTAGAAAGGATCGTTTTTGTTTTCGAAGTTTTTTTTTTCTATTTTCTTAATAAAGCGCTGTGGCCCCGAGGGAAACATTTTTTTTCAGGTGTGGCAGTCAATGTGTTAAATACTTCCTTTGGGAACGAGCACAGCTAATGCTCCTGCCGGGCTTGCTGGTCTGCACCGGCTGTGTGTAGAATTGTTTAAAAGTTGCTCAGCACCTGCTCTTGCTATTTTCAACCAAGAAAAAAAATTAATTTTTAGAACTAGTTTCATATTCCACAGTGTAAACATGAGCAACGACTGTGTCAGGGTCCAGGCTGGAAGGCAACCACTGCTGGTCTCGAACACCAGCCCTAGTGGCACAAGACACGACTCTGCACGTGTTCTTTCCAACGTGAAAACCAGTTAGCCACATGGGGCCAGCGACCGCATGAAAGGCGGTGATTTAGAATTGAGATGCGCTATCCGTGTAAAATGCACGGTGGATTTCGAAGATTTTGCATGAAAAAATTAGGTAAAATATCTCACCCATTTTTTTTTATGTTTGTTGAAATGATAATATTCGGACAGATTGGGTTAAATTAAATATATTAAATTAATTGTACCGGTTGCTTTTTCCTTTATTTACCATAGCTACTTGAAAGTTTAAAATCACTCACATGGCTTTTACGCAATTTCTGTTGAGCAATACTGGTCCGGGTATAGGACCCCAAAGATGGTGTCTCTTTGAGTGAACAAGAAATCAGAATGTCCCCAGAGAATGGAACATTACCCACAGAGACACTCATTCATTTAGCTAACAGTTTCTGAATACTTCACTTGGTGCCAGGGACTTCGTTAGCCATTGAGGTTAAGAGCGATGCTGAGAATTTCTGATTTTTTCGAGACAAGCTGAAGACATTGAGCAAGGGGAGAAGTGTGGAAAGTGGCCACGTGACTTCAATAAGCCAAAGTCCGGTCTGGGAGATGCATCTAAGTTTTAGTACTGGTTCTGCCACTTGCAGGTGACTGACTCACCGTGGACAAACAACTTTAACCTCTTTGGGCCTCAGCAGAGTCACTTGTTGATATGAGATGATGCCCTTCTGGCTGGAAATTTTAGAACAAATTCCACCCTGTGCCTGCCCCTTTGCCGGAGATGACCATGCACTTGGGCAGGCTGACCCCGTCAAACTCAAAGCGGCTTTCGGCTCTGCTCCACAACCCAGCTGCTTCTCACTAACCACCTTGCTTTCTCATCTCTAAGACAATTATTTCACAGCCCTTCCTTTTTCCCCAAAGCTGCCTGTCGCCTTCTCTCCTTCCGTCCTCCAACCCACAGGCTCTGTTGAGGACGTAAGTCACCGGCGGGAAGAGCCCTCCTCTGCCGGCCACCAAATCTACAAATCCAACCTCGCCAGCAACCATCTCAGCCGACTCCGTTCCCTCCGTCCATCAAACAAGGTGCATCAGATACGCAACACGCATTGGTTGAAGGAAGAAGGCAAGTGTGGGAGAAGGAAGAGTATTTCATAACGACAGGCTGTCCAGCGTGCTAGACCAGGGTCCCTTCTTCTCCAGAAGGTAAAATCTGGCTTATCTTCAGATTCTATCTCAAAGTTCACTCTTAGAGAATTATTTGCTTCTCAACATCTGCTTACCCTTCTGTTACCATCTCTTACTGACCTTGTAAGAGCCGCGTCTCTGTATTTTCTAATCGTTCGCCTTTATTGACTGTTTAATTGTCACTTCTAGCTACAGATGTCACAAGGGCTGTTCTCATATAATTCATCAAAACTGTGCTTTCTGGCTCACTTTCTATTGCATTTTTCTGGAAAAGGGTAGAGTCATTAAAATTCTTATGGTGCTCTTCTTAATCACTCTCTTGTTTGGATAACTTAGTAACAACTTGGTATTGAAGAGGAAAGATTTTTTTGGGGGATTGACGTTCATTGGTAAGGTTAAGGTTCCAAGTTCAGGCATTGTTAAAAGGAACGGGTGGGCTATAACATTTAATACGAGGATAAAATCATCGTACGTCAGACAAAGAGAGGAATCTAAGTACGTACCATGGTTTCTCGGCTGTTGACGGCGGATCCTGTGCACTTAGCTATAACTTTATCAATGCACTTCTTGTGGATTGCTGCGTTGCATTCTGAAAAGAAATAGTCACCGCTTACGATTTTCAGAAGTTAAGGAACAACTAAATGGAAATAACAATAGCACAATACAACAGAAATCCGTCTTACTTACGTTGACACTGGTAGCCCTGTTTGTTCAGGCCCCTGCAAGAAAGGACAGGACTGACTTTACCTGGATGCTCATGTCAATGTCAGCACCAGAGACATTTAAGAAAGGAATGAGATCTAAGAGCTTCTAAGACCACAGAGCGTTTCCGATGAGTGGTCCTGGCGAATCACTTGCCGAGAACGATAACATCGTGTTTTTCTATTTTGAGCTGCTTTGTCAAAGGTTTGACAACTAAATGAACGAGGAGCTGCTGATTTCCTTTTCACTTTTGCATTTTCCAAACAAACATATACAGAGCTTAAAATGCGTGACCGAATAAAAAATGCCTGGTGGGCTCCTGGCAGCAGAATTCCACGTTGGTAAGGCTTAAACGCTCATTGCCTCGCTAAACTCACTAGGGCTGAACGAAGACATCTGCGACACACGGTGTTTCCTCTTTCTGTCGGGGAATACTGGCAACCCAGGGGAATACTGGCAACCCACAAAGCGTCAAGTTTAAGGCGAATTCCCGAGGGACGCTCGTTATAAGAAAGAAAGGGGTTTCTTAAGTGATTAGACGAAAACACATGGATGGAAATCCACCGGGAGTCTGTCTGGCCCTCGGATGCCCCGGCTAGGGAGAGCGGTGCACCCGCAGATCCCGCAGCGGCCCAGAGGGAAGGGCGGACTGTAACAGGTGCGGGTGCTGAGAACCAGAAACGAGAGCCGTTTCCAGGCTCCGCTCTGTCACAGCCTTCGCTGCGCGCGGTTCTTGAGGCTCGAACTGGTCTCTGTTTGAAGGCGGTGAAGACGCCCAAGAGCCTCGTAACCGTTTAATCCACTAGCTACGATGGGAAAGCGCCGTCTGTTGCAATCGATTGCACCCGAGCAGGAGGGCTGTTGGGTGGTGGCAGCTTTGGCTACAAACCCGCGGAACTGTGCGTGGGACACAGACACCTCCCTGCTCTCTCTCCCCCTGCGGCAGCCTCCCACGAGTCAGGAGCTAACATCCTCCGGGCGGCTTTCCCAACTGGGCCCGGCGTCCTTGATGGGCAGGAGCCTCGTCACGCAAATCTCTCACTGGGTCACAGCCACCCCCTTTAAAACCTCTCGGTCCCGGCCACCGACGGCTCTCACGTGGCACTTATTCCTGTACCCGTCCCCACGAGGGGGGGGGGGCATGCCAGGCCCAGCGGGTTACGAGGATGCAACGAAACCCGCGCCCCCGAAGCTTGGGGCGAAATGGCGAGTTACTGTACCAGACAAACTCGTGGCAGACGGAGCAGAACGTGGGCTGTGGGAAAAAGGTGGCGGTGAACTCGTGGCACTTGACGTGGTGGACTTTGGCCTGTTTGATGGCCCCCCGGCGGTGATGCAGCGCAAAGAAGCCTTCGGTCTCGAATTCACTCAAGTCCTTTGTGTCTGCAGGAAGACAGCAGGGCACAAAGCTCAGCTCCGCACATGACTGTCCCAGCCGGGGGGGAGGGGAGGACAGAGAGGGACCAGCATCGGGTGCCTACACCACTAACATTCCAGGTACTTACTAAGGTGGGCGCCACACTAAGTTTCTGTCCCTAATTCTACCCTACGGAGTTATCACGGAGTGTGTTAGTAGAGGTGCAAACAGTGAAGCTGTATTGCAGGCTCAGTCCTCCCCTCCTTTCTGACTGGGCTGAGCTACCCTCTTGCAGTGTTTGGAACCAGAGATCAGAATTTTCAAGGTAACTCCTACACCCCTGCTCCCCTGCACCCCTACACCCCCAGCACCCCTACATCCCTGTACCCCCTATACCCCTGTTCCCCGACACCCCTTGTACCCCTACACCCCTGCTCCCCTGCACCCCCTACACCCCCTGCACTCCTGCACCCCTACACCCCATGCACACCCTGTACTCCTACACCCCCTGAACCCCTGCTACCCTGTACCCCTGCACTCCTACACCCCCTGAACCCTTGCACCCCTGTATCCCCTGCACTCCTACACCCCTGCACCCCCTGCACCCCTCATCAGCCTCTCTTTGTCACCCTCAGTGATGAGTCAGCCGGAAAGGCAGGAAGTGGCAAATGCTTTTCTGTCCGTAATTCTAGAGAATCGTGTGTGTACTGACAGCCACTTGAGCCTGGCGGTTCTGAGGGGCCGGGATGCTGTACGCCAGGTTGCGTTTAGGACAGAGCAGGCCAGGCATCTGCGTGGGGGCAGAAGAACTTTGGGAAGTCATGTGTGTGCTGGTTCCTGATGTCCACAGGGCTCAAACACACCAGCAGATTATACTCAACAACGTGGAAAGGGCTGGACGATTAACAGATTGCTGCGATTTTTTTAGTGTCTGGGTAAACCTGTGTGTTAGCTAGTCATCTATATCAAACCATCAACTTCACATCTATTCCGTTTCCTCTGGGCTCATGAAAGTTGGTGCAGCTGCTCTGGGTGGTCACTGCCCACAGTGCCCGATAGCCAGGTGACATCTTTCCAAAAGGCCGAAGGACCCTACGGTGAGCGACTTACGAGAATATCCATCATGCCCTCACTGAAGTCTAGGTCCCCCCCTCAAAAACACAAAATGGTAAGGCAGTCACGGCTAAACAGCCTGCTGAACACACTGGTGAGAGAAAACAACACGCTAAACAGCAAAGAAATAAAAAATAACAGTCACTAAAATAAGAATAAGAAATGAATACATAAACAGATAAAAACAAAATAAGGGTAACGAGTCTAACTCCTAAAACTATAATTTTTACGATTGCTCGAAGATGCCTGGATTGCTCCGTCTATGTTTTTGGTTTTACAAATATAAAAACATCGAGGGTTAGCACGAATAAGGGGCTCAGGATATTTTGCAGATATTCACCAATATAATTTTTTATTAACAATATCGAACCTAAATGACTTCTATTCTGGCTAACCAGAGGCATCAGTCTGCAAGGGTGCTTGGGCCCAGCGCCCCTTCCAAGGCACCTTGTTTTCCAACCCCTAGTAGTGGCCGGGCCAGAAACACACCAGGTGGACAAAGGTCCCCCTGTGGGTGTCCCAGGACTCACGCCTTCTCTGCACTGGGCCAGAGATAAAGGTTTATGGCAACCCCCAAACCCCTAGATGGAGGGCAGTGCCAATAGCCCTCTAGACAGTTCCCTAGATGAGGTGTCGTACTTTGCCTAATACTCTAAGGCTGGGAAAGTTAGGCCTTTTTACTTAGGAGTAGGCTGACAATAAATTAGGCTAGGTTACGGAGGGGTCAATTGAGGGCCACTGAGTTGATCATCTTCTCCCACAAGTTCTGGTCTAAGTGTGGAGATCTATTTACAACCTGTGACTCGCGTCCTAGGTCATTTGTTTATATAATCACACGCGGCTCATTTCTATTTTGGTCCAGATTACATAAATTTAAGTATAAAAATACTTTCTAAATTTAGAGAATGGAAGTGAATTATTCTGGGAACCCTAGCTATATTATTGTGTGTGTGTGTGTGTGTATATATATATATACATATATATATGTATATATAAATTTGTGCATTAGACTCTAACACTCCAAATTTTTAACAAATCAGAAATTGTTCGAAATGCATTTATTATTCCCTTGTTCCCTTCTGTGATTTCCTTTGTCCTCTAAGCATTTCAATGATTATCAAAGACTGAATGTAAGAACACAGAATTTCTTTAATTCTTTGGGCATGACTATTATTTATTTCTGAAACAAATTGCTATTTCTATGTATTGGCTTGACTAAGCTCACTGGTTTTTATATGTTTGGTGTTTTTTTTTTCTTCTTCTTCTTCTTATATACTAACGGTTCCTAATGTATGTATTTAGTCTAATCGATCACTTGTTTGCAGTCAATCAGATGACAGATGTTTCCGGAGCGGCTCTGAGTGCATTGCCCTGCTGAGTGCACTGTGGCAACGTGAGCTGTCCTTCCTAACTCCCCAGTGGGCAGCCGTCAAGAATGGGGGCTTCCTCTGGCACACGCAAGACCAGGTCACTATAAGAAGCAGAGTATAATAGCGAGGAACAGGCTCAGAGATACTTATTTTTTAGGAGGATCCATATTTTCCAGGAGGTAGGAAAAGGAATTGCAAAAGAGACCAAGAAGGGGTAGCTGAAAAATTAAGAGGCACGCCATGCAAGCCATCAAGGAGTGCAACGTCTCAGCATCGACGGTTGGGGACACGTCCAGGAACCAGAGGGCTGAGAAACAGAAACTTGTCTTGGGGATTCATGATCCCGGAGAAATCCACTCCGGCAGATCACGGGAAATAAGCCAGACGTTTGAGGGTTTAGGGACGCAAGGAGCCGCGAAGAACCTAGAAACTCACAAATACAAATTGCTTTTCCAAGAAATGCGTCAGGAAGAGGAAGAAGAGAAAGGGTCACGGAGGTGAAACTGTTAAGAGAGAAAAGATCTTTCTCAGGACGGAGGAAGCCGGCTGAACGCTGTGTGTTTCGGCAGCGGGGAGGAGAAGCACGGAGGGAAGGAGAGGTTGGAGACGCTGAGGGTCAGCGGCCTGTGCTGATGGAGCAGGGAGGCTGGGGTGGGAGGCTGAGGCTGTGAAAGGTGAGGCTCTCCTGGGAGGAGCAGCAGGAGGGAACACGGGAGAGGGGGAAGGCAGCCGCATCCCAAAGTGCAGAGACGGATAAAGGTCAGTCTCTTCCGATTATGCCATGGCCAAGTCCACCTCCAACGGTGGGAGAAGAACAAGAGACCCTCAGAAACCAAGGGAGATGGGAATGTTAGGAATCGCCGTTGTGTGGGAATCAAAAGGAAATGAAAGAAACTTCCACATGTCTAAGTGATTCCAGCTGAACAAGCACTTCTTGAAAATACTAACCCTGACCTGCAGCCCGGAGCTGGGGTTAAAGAGACAAGGCTGGACGCAGTGGCTCACGCCTGTAATCCTAGCACTCTGGGGAGGCCAAGGTGGGAGGATTGCTCAAGGTCAGGAGTTCGAGCCCAGCCTGAGCCAAGAGCGAGACCCTGTCTCTACCAACAATAGAAAGAAATGAATTGGCCAACTAAAAATATATATAGAAAAAATTAGCCGGGCATGGTGGCGCCGCATGCCTGTAGTCCCAGCTACTTGGGAGGCTGAGGCAGGAGGATCGCTTAAGCCCAGGAGTTGGAGGTTGCTGTGAGCTAGGCTGACACCACGGCACTCTAGCCCGGGTGGCAGAGTGAGACTCTGTCTCAAAAAAAAAAAAGAGAGAGATAACTAAGACGTGGTTTGACCTCTGCCCCCTGCAGGGAGCTGACAGTCCACAAAGAAAGCCGATCAGTGTGATCAGTGCGGTAAGTGTGAGAACAGAAGTGTTCTCAGGATGCTTGGAGCCGCGGATGGGAGGACGTTGGAACAGCAAAGGGAGCGGGAGGGAGGTGGAGGCGAGGGAGAGAGGAAAGTGGGACCAGGAGGTGCCAGTAGAGACGACCGTCTGAGCTGAGCTCTGAAAGACTGATAACTCCTGCCGATGTGCGAGAGACGGGGCGGTGAGGGGAGCAGAGGCGGAAGAGGGCTCAGAGCTAAGCCCCCCCTCCCCCAGGGGCTGTGCAGGCGTCGCCTCAGTGCAGACGGTGAGGCAGAAAACACCTGTGGCCGCACCTGTGGCCACACCTGTGGCCACACCTGGGGAACAGTAGGACGCAGTCAGTGCGAACGTTCCTTAGAGATAATTTAACAGCGCTGCACAGCTGCAGCCAGGGGCAGAGTTGTGGCACGGTCAGATTGGGGCTTGATGTAGTTTTTTTCCCTTCCACCAGCGGCGTAAGAAGAGTGGACGGGATACAGCAAGAGGTGACAACGCAGAGGCGACATTGAAAAATTACAGCAAGAGGTGACAACGCAGACGGCGACGTTGAAAATTACTGACTAGACTGCATGCATGGAAACGGTCGACCGATTGAGGTGGGAGGTGGAGGAAGTGGAGGCTATGAAAATTACTTCCAGGTTTTTCGAAGCGAGCAATAACTGACTAAGATAGTGACTGCAAAAGAAATAGTTTGCTGGTGAACATGCTGAGAGTAGTTTTGGACACAATTTAATCTGGACACTTTAAGTTTTGTTGTTTATTTTTATTTATTTATTTTTTTTTTTTGGAGACAGAGTCTCCCTCTGTTGCTCCAGCTAGAGTGCCGTGGCGTCAGCCTAGCTCAAGCAACCTCAAACTCTGGGTCAAGCGATCCTCCTGCCTCAGCCTCCCGAGTAGCTGGGGCTACAGGCATGCACCACCACCATGCCCGGCTAATTTTTTCTCTATATTTTTAGTTGTCCAATTAATTTCTTTCTATTTTTAGTAGAAATGGGGGTCTTGCTCTTGCTCAGGCTGGTTTCGAACTCCTGACCTTGAGCGATCTACCTGCCTTGGCCTCCCAGAGTGCTAGGATGACAGGGTGAGCGCCCTGCTTAAGTTTTGTAATTTAAATTCAACAGAATTTCAAGTACGTAGGAGGTCTACCAGGGGGCAGAATGGGTGAGTTCCACAGGAACATCACCTAGTAGCAGCTGTTTGCAATGGAGTCGGCTGAATGACTTTTTTTTAGCAAAGCCGCAGAGAATGAGAGGGGAGAATGCAAGGTTTGGAGTTCAGAGCATCCATGGCCAAGAGGGAATGAATGAGAGCAGGCGCTGGCAAGGACTTGTCTGTAGTAATAGGAGTAATAAACAGGAGGAATATCCGTGGAATTGGTGTTCAGTGCAGGGATCTTAAAATCATTTATCGAAAACATTTGCATTCTGATGGAGGACTCGTTTTCAACTTACGTTGTTACGTTGGGCCATGGTTTAAACTTACGGGAAGAGTATACCTTCTCTTATGTATGGAACTACACATTACTGGTATTATCACTCAGGTCAGTACTTCCGCTTTTTATGCAAATCTGGTTATTCAGATGCCCTGCAAAGACTCTATCTCATTTAGCCAATTTGAAAACAGTGTCATTATATGTATTATACGTCTACAACCTCCAAGCAGAAAAAAAAAAAAAAAAAAAGCAAAAGAAAAGTTCGGGGTACATTTTTCCCTTCTCGGGAACTTTTTTCTTTCTTTTTAGAAAACTTCATTATGGAAAATTTCAAATATGCACGAAAGTTGAGCAAATGCTGTAATTGATTTCTGCATAGTAATTATATAGCGTCAACAATGATAATGGCCTATAATTCATGGCCTCTCTCTTCCAATATACCTAGTTCGCTCCCCCCACCCCATGCCAGTGGATCATTTTGAAGCAAACTCATGTACCGTCTTATTGTATCTAGAAATATTTCAGCATGTATCTGTAAAAGCTTAAAACTCCTTTAAAAAAACATGACTGCAATATTATTGTCATACCTATAAAAGTTAATAACCGTGCCTCAATATCGTCAAATATCTGTTGAACGTTCCCGTTTCCCCTCATTATCTTATAACATTATTTTCTCCAGTGTATTTGTTTGACCCTGGACCCAGAGGAACTACATGTGTTAAGCAAAAACCCAGAAAGCACCCAAAATCTGTAAACCAAAACTCTCTTCTTCTTGGTAGCAAACCTGATTGAGGTAAAAAATGAAATCAGTTTATCATCAGTAAATTCACACGTCCATTCTGCAGTTTAGGATTTTACGAGTAGTAGCATTTGATTCGTGTAAACACTACCAGCAGCTTGTTGGCTGGTGACTAGCGCACCATGATGGGAAATTCAACTTTTGTGGCCAAAGTCTGCATGGGACACGGAACCAAAGCTCTTAAGCAATGCATTTTTTTTTACCCTTCTCTGTTCCAAAAAGGATTTGAGGTGACTAGCCTCAAATTAGCATTTCTGCCACTACATTTATGGAAAACATTTCTTTCTTTCTTGCATTTTACTGACAGGGTGATAGCTTGTCATACATAGCACACCGTTTACACATAGACAACGTATACACGCATCACGACACATAAACAGTGTTTTGCATTTACACGAAATGCCCAAACTAAAATACAGACGACAGAAGCGATATGGGCACATGAATTCACCCCACCTGAAACAGAACCCTGTAAATGTTTTACATTTCTATGTTCATCTGGCCCCGACAGTGTATTTCCTCTCCACCATTGTGCTGTGTATATATCCATCGGCGTCCTCCCCCCTCCGGCCCTGTCCGACACCGTAGATGTTACTCTTATATGGGGTGCAGCTTAGTTTGTTATCCAGTGTTAATACAATTTGCTGCGTGAGTACATGTGGTGCTTGTTCTTCCATTCCTTGAGATACCTTCATTGTCACGTAGACATGGTTCCAGCTCGTATCCAGGAAAATACAAGAGGTGTAGCAGTCAGCCATTGTTTCTTATAGCTTGAATAGTACCATCCGGAGTGGTATAGCGGTATAGACCTGACATTTATTATTAATCCTACTCATGCTATGATATGGGCACTTTGCGGTTGTTTTCTCCACAGTTTTTGCAATTTGAAGTGTGCTGCTATAACAAGGTAGTGGAGATCAAGATTTTAACTTGAGACAAAAGAATCATCTAGGCGCGGATGGAGGTCTCCAGTCTGCCTTGTGGGGAAATCTAAAGCAGAGTGTGTTTTTTTGGGGTAATAGGATTATAATCTCTGCTTTGAGGTTGCGTCCAATGCGCTCCTTGGCCTCCCATGTGGTGTTGTGAGGTGTTTTATCATGTAGGTTAATCAGTGGTGGTGGTCCTCTCTTTCTAAGAGGAGGGTGACGATCGTTTTTTGGGCCAGCTCGGGAAGATGCTGGCTGACACTAAATCCGGGGAAATTTAATTAGTGTTAGTCTGGGGAGGGAGTAAAAAATATATATTTCAGTACCGTATCACCATGTAGAAGGGACCAGAACAAAGTGTCATTTTAAGGGATGATGGAGGATCTCTTGTATATGTGACATAATAAAAGAAAACATATTTTAATAGGACATAATCCATAGTCTTAAGACAAACCTGAGCACCTAATCACTAATATTATGAAACCCATCTCACTAAGAGAATAAGAATATGAAGGTGAATCTAGGCTCCGGCGCGCCAGTGGCTCAACGCCTGTAATTCCCAGCCACTCTGGGGAGGCACAGCGTGGTACGCTCAAGGTCAGGAGATTTCAAACAGCCTGAGCAAGAGCAAGACACCCCATATCTCTACTAAAAATAGAAAGAAATTAATTGCAACTAATAGACAGTATAAGAAAAAATAGCGGCATCGGTGGTGGGGCATGCCTGTAGGTCCCAGGCGTACTAG